GGGCGGGCGGCGGCGCCAGCAGAGCCACCTGGTGGCCGGGGGCCCGGAGCGGCTACCGCGCTCCTTCCGCCACCGGCCCGGCCTCAGCCACCTCCCTGGGCGCAGCGTCGCGGAGGGCGGGGAAGCCCCGCGGCCAAGGCGGCTCTGCTGAGCGCTGCCTCCTTCCCCAGCGAAGGCCGGGAGGGACGGGGGCTGACGCGGGGCTCGGGCCGGGGAGGGGAGGGGGCTTCGGTTAAGAAGGTCCGGCTGAGCTGGGCTCCTTCGCCCCTCGGGGGCCTTCAAGGCAGGGGCCGCCCGGCTCCCCCCCCCCCGGCAGCGTCCCTGGAGGGGGGCAGAATTTGAAGGGGCCAAGGGGCAAGAGCACCCATGCCCGGAATTGTTCCCTCAACCATACCCATCGGGTTAAAGTTTTTTAAAAGGGTTTGGGCCAACATTTTGCCCCAGGAAGAAACTCCCTGGACTGCCAACTCTATCCTGTGTGTGTGTGTGTGTGGGTGCTTCGGCCCTTTGCTGAGCCAGATTTGCCCAGTTGGTGGTCCTGGGTCTTGGCGGGTCTTCCTGGCAGCGCTGGCAGGGCTGATTCTGCCGCCTCCTTTTAAATGTCTTTTAATTCACTGGCCTGCCAGCCAGGAACTTCCCTTAGGTTTATTCATTAATGATGAAGCGGCCACATTGTGCCCGCTCTTAAGGCCTATTCTTGGCATCCCCTTTCTGGGGTGTTATTGATGGCCCGGCAGTTGGTCTGCAGCCATTGATACCGTCCATTTGAATTGTGGGCTTAAGGCTGGCAGAGGGGGATTAATTGCCAGCGCAGCCCCTCCAGCTCATTGTCTGCCCAGCGTTCCTTGCCGTGGGCTGCCTGTGAGCTTCAGGGGCACTGTTGGCAAAGCTGGCATAATACTGGACATGATTGGGGCTGCCAGTTGGTTTGAGAAATTGATGAAAACGTCATTTAACTCTCAATAGTTTTAGCCGGATTACAAGTGTTTACATTTCTCGTTCTTCTGAAGCGGCAGGGGGTAAGCCCTGTTAGAATTCGGGCACAGCCTCTCTCCCGTTCCTTCAGCAGGGCACCAACACTCCCAGGGCTGCCATCTGCACTACTAATGTACAGCCTCTCCACCTGTCCTGCTTTTGGAATCAGAAGCCCCACGGAGGCTGCCTCGATGCCTTTGAGTGTTGAGTGAGGCCTGTTTCCCTTGGATGGAGAGGCAAAGGAGGGCCTGCCTCCCGCCAGGAGAAGGAGAGGCTTTGATTAACCCAGCACAGAAGACGGAGAGCTCATAAGAGGCCCCCCGTGGAGGCCCTTTGGAGAGGCTGAAATTCTCTCTTCTTTTGAAGGCCTGGGCTTTCTGCTGAGGGAGGCAGGTCTCTTCTCCCCCAGCGTGGTGCCTTCAAGCATTTTGGGGGAGCCCCGTCTCCCCGGTTCTTCTTCCCATCCTTTCCCGGTGGTGCAGATTCTGGATTGATAATCTCGGCTTGTTTCCATGGGAACGGCTGCCTTCTAAACGAGTCAGCACCAGGCAGACGAAAGAGTCCAGGGCCAGCAAGTGCAACAGCCGAAGGGAGGGGGATCTGGAGTTGTGCGTCACACTCTGCAAGCGTGTGCAAAATTCTGTGATTCTGAGAGGAGAATCGCGTCAAGCTAAATGACATCAGGCAGCCCCTCTTGCACCTACGTGTGCCCCCCAAAACGCAGTCCTTGGTGGGTGTGAGGAGGCTGGAGGCCCCGGACTGGCTGCTTCCCCCTCCCTTAACAGGATGCAAAGGCTTCGGATCTTTTGGTGCTGGGATCCTGAGCAGCATTTTAGGCAAACGATGGGAACTTCTCCCACGACCCATTCGGGGTCTTGTAAGTTCAGCTGTGCTGGGAATCGGTCTGTCTGTCCTTAGGGGTCTCCTCGGAGGAAGGCTTGTTCCTCATCCGGGGTCTCTGCTGGGTGATGCTGAGCAAACAGTGACTCAATTTCTTTTTTTAATTAAAAGGGTCCTTTTGGGTCCTTTTGGCTTTCCTCCTGCAGGATGTTGGCGGTGCAGGGCTGATGAGAGCTTATGGACAGATTTGAAAGGGGATTGCATAAGCATGCCATGGGCTAATCGGGGCAGCAAATGGCTGGGGGAAAAGCCCCGTTAAAGATCAGCCTTTGGGGCCGGCTTGACTGAGCACCCACAGAGCTTCCTTGGCTGACTTGAAAATGCTTCTCCAGGGTTTGCTGCTGTGAGCCTTCTTAGCTGCTTTGGGTTCATCCGACAGGGCTTCTCCCGGCCCAACATGGGGTGTCTTGACTGCAGCGGATCAGGGTCTCGGGTTTAATCAGGGTTATAGAAACTCCATCCGCTTCCTTCAAAACGGACCATGAAAGCAGCTTAGGTAAAACTCTTAAAATTGCCCCAGCCCCCAAAGGGGAAACAGAGGGGCTCAAACATTTGCCCTTGCCCACCCTGGGGCCACAGGAGAGGGTCTGTTAGCCAATGGTGCCCCTGGGCTCCAGGCTTGGCCCTGACAGTGACAAAGCGGCTCTGGGGTCCTTCCCCCAACCAGACCCCTCCCTCCCTCCGGGACGTGTTTCCTTTTTCAGAAGGCGGGAGTGTTGGTGGGGCAGGAAGGCCCAAACCCATATCTAGCAGCCTTGTTCAGGTGTCACCTTTATGAGTGATTCCAGAGCTGAGCCCACTGGGGAATGTGGCAAAACCTCCCTGGCAAGTTTCAAGGTCCTTTCGGCAGGACGGAGGTGCCATTCTGGGAGATGGAACAAGCGAGTCACCTGCCGGCGTAGCTGATGTGCACCAGGCTTGCAAGAGGCCCCGATATATTCCATGAATGGCCTAACGGCATAAGGAATGTCATAGTTTTCTCTGTGAGAAGATGCTCCTGTGTGCAAACGTGCTCCGAAGGGCCCCAGGGGAGGGGTCTTTTCTGCAGGGAGGGTCTCGGTGGAGGCCAATTCCTTCTTGTTAAGAAAGCTGGAAAAATCACAGCTCTCTATGCTGCCTCCTCTGCCCAGCAGCCACTGGCCTTTGAAGGGAAGGGGGGAAACTGGCCACTCGACTGGGAAGGGGATCGGATTTGGGGAGGGGTCTCAGCCTGAGGGTGGAAGCAGGAGCCTGGCCATCCTGCTGCACATCTCGGTCTGATCTGAAGCAAGAGCAATAGCAGTTAGACTTATATGCCGCTTCATGGGGCTTTCAGGCCTCTGAGGTCCCTCCTGTGGCTTTTGGGGGGGGCATTTGCTGCTGGAGAAGCCGTTGCCGGATCTGAGCGTCCTGGGCCTGCTCCTCCTTTCCTTTCGCCCGCCCTCTCCCGCCCTGCCTGCTCTCTTCGGCCTGGTGCAGGAGACGAGGAGGGCCGTGGCCTCAGGGAGGGGCTGCCGGGGAAGCTCTCCAGCCCACGGGGTGCAGAACGCCCCTCCCGCCCTCCCTTTCACCAAGGTTGCCATAGCAATGGGAAAGGATGCTGTGCCCGGAATAGATGGCCGAATGGACGGCCAGGGAGGAGGCGAGGGCTACGGAGCCCTTCTGGATGGCTTTGATTCCAGGCAGGTTGCGGTGAAACTGCCGCCTGGCTTGGTCTGGGATCATCCTTCTTCAGTCTACCCGGAGGCTTCACTGGATGAGAGCTGGCCGCTCCCTTTTCTTCCGCAACCCCTTTTCCCCTGTCGCAAAGCCGCCTTGGGCTCTGTGACCGGCCTCGATGCCCCAGTACAGGAACTGGGCTCTCTGCGCGATTGGGACTTGAGGCCGCAAAAGGCAGCTTGGCCATCTCCTTCCTTTCCTGCTGATTAATGGCTTTGCCTTCTTCGCCCTCCCCCACGGCTGCGTCCTGCAGGCCATCTCAAAACAAAGGTCCTTTCGAGGAATATGGACGCCTCCCCTTCGCTTCTCAGCTGCCCTCAAGCGGTGGGCCCTGGGTTCTGCCCTCGCCCCATTTCCCTCCCCTTCCTCTCTCCGGAAGGACGGCATTGGATGCAGTTATGAAACACGCCTGGAGAGAGAGAGAGATGGTTTTGTTGAGTTCACACATGGCCTCCTTCAGAGCACAACCTCATTTGCGCACTCGGGGTTTATGCCTAGACGCTGTGATTCATTCAGGCAACTGGTTTGCTGCAGTACGTGAGCCTGGCTCAGGAGGGGCTCAATCTCTCGGCTGGCCTTTTTCCCCCACCAAGCAACAAAGATCAAACAACAGATTTCGCTGGTCCCTAAAGTCCTTCATTCAAACCAGGAGTTTCCTGAACCACAAGAAAATGCCGTTGCTTCAACTTGGCTAAAGGGGGGAAAGTGCTTGGGGCTTTTTCCCCCCTGTTATTTTGCTGTAATGACCGGTTGGGAAAATAGGGTTGGGGGCCACTAGAAGGAATATTTAGAGGCACTGTAACGTTCCCGTGGTTCGCCCATGAGGCCAATGTGGAGAAAAGACAGGACACAACCTTTCTCGGGATGGAGCGAAGACCCAGATTGGGGGTCTGAGAGCCCCTTTTATTGAGATAGGACAAAGGCAGGAGGAGCAATAGCACGTAATTAAAAACAGCCTGTAAAAGTACAATTTCTAATCATCTGCTCAGGGAAGTTCTGTCTATATATGGTCAAATCCTGGGCGTCATTGGTAGGGCACATCTCAGGATGTTATGTTATGCACTATCAGGATGTTATGGGGTTTTAGGAGTTTGTTTTCTCCTGTGTGGTTCAGCGTGGCTCTGCATGCCCTGGTATGAACTGGGCCATGGGTGACCGCTACGCCTAGACAAGGAATGTTGGCTTGGCAGAGAAACCTCTTTCCACTTATCCATTTTTTCTGAACTTTGTTTCTTACAGGTAAAGCAAATAATGGAGGAAGCCGTCACAAGGAAGTTTGTGCATGAGGATAGCAGCCACATCATTTCTTTCTGCGGTGAGCTGCAGTGATGCAGGCCTTCTCCCCCCCTCCCTCCCTCCCTCCCTCCCTCCGTGTGTGTGTGTGTGTGTCTTCCACCTGTTCGGCCGCCCTGCAGACAAGCAAGCTCCTTGCATGCGAATGGCTGGCCTCTCCTGAGGTTGGCCTGGGAATCAATGGCTCATTGTCTCTGGCTGCGTCTCTCCCTGGGCCCAGGGGAACAAAGGAGAGCAGAAGGAAAGGAACTGACTTACTTGACTTGCCCTCGACCTTCAGGGAGCACCCTGGGCAGTTAGCAGAGCTTAAAAACAAAAGCTGAATGTAAAAAGTTATGGTTACAATTAGGAGTGCCGCAAGTACTAAAGACACTGGACAGTGAAACATCCAGCTAAAGAGAGCCCAAGGCCCAGGAGGAGAATTTGGGCAGGAAAGTCTCTCTCTCTGTGTCTCCCAGAGGCCTTAAGAAATGCTGCTGTGGTCAGAAGGACAGCCGGGCTCTTAATCTTGACACACAGCCTTCATGGAGGGGGGAGGGTCTCCTTGGAAGAAGCCCTTGCTGGACCCACGAAGTCTCCAGCCTTCCAGGGGGAAAGGCTCTTCCGGGGAGGATGGAGTGGCCATGGCAGTTCCACAGCTGAGTTTTGCAAGGGGGGGCCTTCAGGCAGAGTCCTCGTTTCCTGGGAGGGCTCTCAGATTCGGGGCTTTGTCCTTCCAGCCGCGGTCGAAGCCTGCGTCCTTCACGGACTCAAGCGCCGGGCAGCCGGTTTCCTGCGGAGCAACAAGATGGCCGCCCTGTTTATGAAGGTGGGCAAGAGTTTCCCGCCGGCCGAGGAGGTTTCCCAGAAAGTGCAGGACCTGGAGCAGCTCATCGAGAGCACGTGAGCCGTGGCAGCTGCGCTGGGGACACATGCTGGGGGAATAATGGGGTTCGGGTGCCTTGTGGGCCTGGCTGGTGCTGAGAGAGGCATTCATGGTGGATCAGCTCAGTCCTGCTTAGGCTGCCTGGCCTGCTGGTGCTGAGCGCTGGGTTTTGGGGGGGGGAGGAAATGGGGGGGGGGCTCCCCAGCTAGAATTTAACCCAAGCCCCCCTCTCAGCTCCTGTACCCCTTCGCGGTTTCCTTGCCTTTAGCTTGACGGTCATTTAGAAAAGTGGAGTCCTCTATAAGTTGAGTCAGTTCCAGGTGGCCCTGCGGGAGGCGCTGTTTCCTCAGCCAAAGTATGGGGAGGGGATTTCCATCAGGAGCTCCTGGGATCTGGGTTCAAATTCCCTCTCTTGCCCTCTGGCTGAGGTTTTTGGTTCGGCTTGGATTTGGTGGGGCACCTGCGTGTATCACGTGCATAAAATAGGCACGTGAAAAATAGGTTTCCCCCCCCACAAAGATAAAACCTCTGATTTGGGGAGGGGGGTGGCCCCCCCCCCCGAGTGATGGTGAATGTGGGACGCCGCCTTCTCTGCCCCCTTCCAGGCGGAACCAGGGCTCCAGCTTGCAGGAAAGCGCTCGCAAAACTCCAAAGCCCCCCAGCCTCTCCCCACAAGCCGTCAAGCACCTCTGGATCCGGACGGCGCTTTTTGAGAAAGTCCTGGACAAAATTGTGCACTACTTGGTGGAAAACAGCAGGTGAAGGTCTCCTCCGCCCTGGCGCTGCCACTTGGCTGGCAACCCTGGGCACTGCTGCCATCTCGGCTGTTGGGCCCCTCGGACTCACCAGGGTGCCAGCCAAGGTCGGAAGCAGCCACCCGATATTCTGCGAAATACAGTCGTAGAAAAAGTTAAAATTGGGGAGAATGGCCCCTTCTCCCAGGTCTACCCAGCCTTTTGTGTCTCCCCCCCACTTGCAGCAAATACTACGAGAAAGAGGCCTTACTCATGGATCCAGTGGATGGACCAATCCTGGCCTCTTTGCTGGGTAAGGGGCTGGGGGCTGGCTGGGCATCCCAGGGGGCTGCAATCCACACCCACCCGGAGGATCTTGACATGTGGAAAGCTGGTGGGCTGAAGGAGGGGAACGTAAGTCTGGGGGAGCCCAAGGCCCAACGTCGCTCTCTCTCTCTACCCGGCCCTCCCTTTTCCTGCGCCCGCAGTGGGTCCTTGTGCCCTGGAGTACACTAAGATGAAGACGGCTGATCACTTCTGGACCGATCCCTCAGCAGACGAGCTGGTCCAAAGGCACCGGATCCACAGCTCCCACTGCTGGCAAGATTCGCCCACCAAGCGCCCTGCGCTCTGTGTAGGTCTCGGAGTGGGACGGCCAGGGAGGTTGGCACTTGAGGGGCAGCAGGGCAGGGCTGCGTCCCTGAAGCAGGTGGCTTTGGGGGCAGAGGGGGGGGGGCTGCCTGGCAAGGCCCCACCGGGATTCTAAAGGGCAAAAAGGGGGTGTGTGTGAAAAGGGAGCGCAGCAACAATTCATTTGGGAACGTCAGTCTGGTTAGACTTCGGCCCCCACATTGAACAGTCCAATTATTTGGAAGAAGAAGATTGCGATTTCCCCGCTTCGGCCTCCAGATCCAGAAAAGGCACTCCAGCGGCAGCATGGATGACCGGCCCACCTTGTCCGCCAGGGATTACGTCGAGTCGCTGCACCAGAACTCCAGGGCCACCCTCCTCTACGGCAAAAACAACGTCTTGGTGCAGCCGGTGAGTTAGCCCGCGAGAGGCCAGTCGGGGCGCCTGAGGGCGTGGCAGGTTGTCCGGAACCTTCTTCCGATTGTTCTTCAACGTGAAGCCGCACGTTTTCTGGACGCTGAGAATTTACTCCCCAGGAAAACCCCGTCATAAGTCGGTTCTGTCTCCCGTTTTCCCTCTCCCGACAGCGAGACGACATGGAAGCCATTCCGGGCTATTTATCGCTCCATCAGACGGCCGACGTCATGGCGCTGAAGTGGACCCCAAACCAGCTGATGAACGGCTCCGTGGGCGACCTGGACTACGAGAAAAGGTGGGGCCCCCTCCTGCGCTCTTTCGCGGGACTCCCGCGCACAGCCCCCTTCCCTGCGTTTGATGCGGGAGGAATTCGCAGGCCGAGGGAACCCGGCTCAGCCGGGCCCTTCGAGTGCTTCCGCAGTCTGCGGGGGGGGAGGGCGCCACTGTTGAGGTGCCCTAGCCAGGCGGTGCTTCTCCCCTCTGCAGCGTTTACTGGGACTACGCCATGACCATCCGCCTGGAAGAGATTGTCTACCTTCACTGCCACCAGCATGGTAAGGCGGCGGCTGGGCTGGCCTGGAACTGGCCCTCCACAGCTCTGAGACTGCCCTCCCTCGCCCGGGTGAAGAGGGGTCAGCATTGAGCCCACTCCTGCGTTGGCTTGGGGGAGGGAGGGGGCCGCGCCCGCTTGGGGTAGCCCAGTTTCTGTGGGGCCCCCGTGGCCAAGTCCGCTCCTCATCCTGCCCTCTCCCTGTGTCTCCTCTGCTCAGTAGACAGCGGGGGCACCGTTGTCCTGGTCAGCCAGGATGGCATCCAGCGCCCTCCCCTGAGGTTCCCGAAGGGAGGGCATCTGCTTCAGTTCCTCTCCTGCCTGGAGAACGGCCTGCTGCCCCACGGCCAGCTGGATCCCCCCCTCTGGTCACAAAGGGGGAAGGTGAGGCTGGGGGAGGGGGGGAGTTGCACACCTGCAGCTGGGTGTGGGTGGATGCAGAGCGCCGGGATGTCCTGCCTCTCGCCCGAGATGCCAGTCCAGCAGCTGGAGCCTGTTCGGGGGGCTGCCTGAATGCCGGAGGCTTTACCCAGAGGCCCCCGGGCGTTGGTTGCGGCCTTCCTTCTGGCTTTCCTTGGGCTGGTCCAGGCGCAGAGAGAGCTGAGAGGTTTCCGTCTCTGCTTCCCAAAGGAGAAAGTCTTCCCGAGGCTGAAGAAGCGCAACCTGCAGGGGCCCCCGGAGTCTTCCTCGGACAGGGAGGAAGACGAGGCCACGGATTACGTCTTCCGGATCCTCTATCCAGGCATCCAAGATTTCGGTAAGGGCTGCTCGGGAGGAGCAGCAGACGGTTCCCCCCACCCCAAAAAAAAATGTTTCTTTCCTGCATGTTGAGATGCCTCACAGTCACGCGGGGTTCAGAAACGCAACCCATTTTACTATTTTAACGCGAAACTTTTCTGAATTGGTTTTATTTTGTCAGCTGCCTTGAAGGCTTGGTGCAGAGGAGAAAAGGGGCATTCTTTTTTTTGGGGGGGGGGCGAGAATTGAATTTATTGAATTTATTTTGAATTTATTTCATTTATATGCCGCCCTTTTTCCCCGAAGGGGACTCAGGGCGGCTCACAATCCAAGTCAAGGGAAGGGGTACAAATAAAAAATAAAAAGACGAACGAAAACCAATTCAGAAAAGTTTCGCGTTAAAATAGTAAAATGGGTTGCGTTTCTGAACCCCGCGTGACTGTGAGGCATCTCAACATGCAGGAAAGAAACATTTTTTTTCGGGGTGGGGCGAACCGT